TAATATAATAAACTCTAAAACAAGTTTACTTTCTAATAATAACAAAATAATACGATGGACATAAGTAAATATACTTAAAAATATAATACATTATGGTAAGACAAAAAAATTAGGATCGACATGTGCTCACCCTGATCCTTCAATGGTTCCGCCACTATAATGCCAACAAGTTGATGGTGACAATGGGAATGAAACTAATTCTTCATTTATTAGCATGAAATATATAAATTATAGAACTAAGACTTGTTCTGACCCATAATCAGTGAAGTGGAAAGCTTTGATGTTTCGCTGAACCATTTGAGAATCTACATGACTTAGCCATAGCAGAGAAGTCTGCAGACCTAATTATATTGAGCTTCTTGATTGAGAACCTTATCATGAAGCCTACTTTNACATGACTTAGCCATAGCAGAGAAGCCTGCAGACCTAATTATATTGAGCTTCTTGATTGAGAACCTTCTCATGAAGCCAAGTCAACTTAAGTTTTTTTTTAGCACAAATGAAAGGGACCTATATATTAATTCTACATTTATTATCATACAACTCCTCAACTCTTTCACACTTGACGGAAATGAAAATGCTTGGGGTTTATGAATTGAACCATGTCATGTCACATTCGTGTAATATTCGGTTATATTATTTTAAGTTTGTATCATTTTCTTGTAATGTACAATATTTTTGAAGTGATGTATACCACGTGACGGGTTAAAATTGCTCCCACATGGCATGTGCCACGTGTTCTTCTTTAATTCTTTGTCCATTAAACAACAAGTGCATGTTCTGAATTAGCTTTTGGTAGGGCTGGTGCATTGATGTCAAAAGGATCAATCTGATGAGATTTCTTTAGAAATTAATAAGATGTCAAAAGGATCATACTTTGGAGTCTCTCTTTCTGAACTTGGCATGTGCTTCTAAAGTTAGAAGTAGATCATATCACACATTGATAAGAAGATGACTTGAGATTTGAATAGAGAGAGAGCAAGTAGACAATGCAAACCATAATACTAATTTTATTTCAAAGAGTTTATTTGTCCCTTTGACACTAAAAAGATACAAAGAAAAGAAACCCTCCATGAGCATACATAAACAATATTAGTATTTGGCAAACCAGTGATAATGTAATGGACTGGAGCTTTAGTTCTCAAGGAAATCCACCCCCTCCAATCCCACCACCCGCTCCTCCACCATATCCACCACCGGCACCACCGCCAAGACCACCTCCACCGCCACCGCCAAAGCCTCCACCACCTCCTCCTCCAAGTCCACCACCAGCTCCCGCCCCACCTCCATATCCACCACCAGCTCCAAAACCAGACCCTCCACCTAATCCTCCTCCACCACCACCACCAAACCCTCCCCCCCCGCCTCCCCCAAGTCCACCACCGCCACCAGTACCCCCACCATAACCAGCCCCACCACCAAAACCAGAACCACCTCCTAACCCTCCACCTCCACCGCCCCCAAAACCACCACCACCTCCACCACCGAATCCTGGTTGATGAAAGAGAGTTTTCTCATCTTCGAAAGAACCCTTTGAGCTCACAAGCTTCCTACCATTTGTTGTGCAAACAAGAGCAACAAGCACAAGAAGGAAGAGCTGAGAAGCCATCTTTGCAAAAAGCAATGTTTAAGATGACTTTTGATGAGAAGTTAGAACTGGAAGTGGAGTATATATAGAGGCGCCAAGCCTAAAATTTTCAAAGGAACGGTTGAGAAAGTTTAATTAGCTTAGATTCACAGTGTCTTGGGAAGTTAATGCACCCAGCTGTCTCTTTTGAAAAACAAACCCCACACCTAGCAACCACCACTTGACCTCCCCCAAGTGGATGATCATTTGGGCCTTATGGGGACACTTTCGATTCATCTCCACATGAGTTTGCATGCACTGCACCTTTAGGGTCTCTCTCTCACACACACACACATTCCCAATTACTACGTACTAAAGAAAAAGTCAGCAGCAAGTGGAGCAGTTTATGAATCTGTATCAAATAGGAAGAAAGAGACGAAGCTTGGCTTTTGATTTCTGGGTTCTGAAGTTCATTGGTCGCTGAAAAAAAAAACATACTGAAGCTGGAGTTATTCGGCAATATTCCTGCTGTAGTAACATCATATTAAAATTGTTTTATGGTTGAAAAATAAATATTTTCTTTGTGAAACATTCATTTTTTAACATTTTTGTATGTGTGGGCGTGGGTGTGGGTGTGGGTGTGGGTGTGTGTATAATAAGTCTGTATATGCGTATATATGTATACATACAATTGATCATATATGGTGGTATCTTTATTCCCCTTCTTTACTGAGGCAACCTATTGAGGATGATTTGCTTCTTGTGTGTTTAATAATATATTACCAAATCGTTTTAAAGGGCAACATCTAGATGAGTGGAACCCCATTGAACTCGTTTAATTTGTTGAACTCTTGATACTTTTGCTGAGCCGACAAGTGCTGAGAACGAATTGTTTTTTTATATTTATGAGGATGAAAAGTTCGTTGGGTCTGCATCATCCACAAGTCCAAAGGTTGACCTAATGGTCATCGCCTCAACTGATAGACTTTAAAATTACGAATTCATACCTGATCACTCTCTTTATAATAGTGACCGACCAAAAAAACAAAAGTGCAACATCTACACAAGAAGAACCCATAATTACAGTGCTTAGGCTGTGCGCTTGACCTTGTAATATAATCTGGATCTAGGTTCGAGCAATTTGCCCTAAGGGATAGGGTAATAGACTTGTAACAATTTCAAAAGTAGTTCAAACGATAATAATGAGTTACTTTACCTGGCTACCATCGAGTCAATTACCATATTAAAACTCAAATTTTAAAATTTGAGTATGGATTAAAATGGTAACCAGTCAATTAATCAGTTTAAATTAAATTTTAATATATAAAAAATTAAATTTTAATTAACTCGAATTTTATATAGAAAAATTGTTTAAGGTTTATGTAAGGGTAATTTTGGTATTTAGATAATTTATTTTTGTTATAAATAATAGTTTAATAGCAAAAGGTGTTAATGCTATTTAAATATAAGTTAAAATGGGTGTCGGTAATATTTTTTCTGATAGAGGTGGTGTTCTTGAANCCTTGTAATATAATCTGGATCTAGGTTCGAGCAATTTGCCCTAAGGGATAGGGTAACTGAAATTTTTCCTNAATATTTTTTCTGATAGAGGTGGTGTTCTTGAAAAATATAATAAACTAAAAAAAGTGTAACTGAAATTTTTCCTTTTTTTTTTTTTTTAAAGTCTACGAGAATGATTATCCAGTTAACCTGTTAAGTGGGAGATATTGGGGAGAGGTGAACTGAGAATAGAAAGCTCTTCTAAAATTACTTCCCTTCAATTTCTCAACGAGACATCATATGTTCTTTATTGGCAAAATATTCACTTGAATACAGCAAGTCTCACGACTTTAAGTGATTTAGTATTAAAGGAATTGAAGAAAATTGTTACAAAGTGAATCTGTATTCGGGTATTGGTTAAGCAACCAGCCTTCGTTTTTCATAAATACTTGTAAATTGTACTCAAAAAAGAGTAGCATCCAAGTACTTTGAACCCATAGCTGCTGTGGCTAGGGACTAGACTAGGCAAGTATAAAGAATCCAAAATTGCTCTTAACACAATGACAGATCACCTACCGAGTATGAACAAGAGACTCACTTATAATGTCAACACGTGAGACGACAAATATAGCAAAACGTGATGTAGTTCCTAAAATATTAGCCATACCCATTTGGCCTAGATCAAAGACGTGCACTCATAATGTACGAGAAACTGAAGGAATAGAAAATTTAATGCAAACGAGTTTCACAATGAGATGCNGCCATACCCATTTGGCCTAGATCAAAGACGTGCACTCATAATGTACGAGAAACTGAAGGAATAGAAAATTTAATGCAAACGAGTTTCACAATGAGATGCATCCATTCACCCTCACTCTCTTTCCAATCACTCAGGTGCTTGAGTAGAGCAAGTGAAAATGAATAAACTGTTTTGGCTGGCTCTTCACCACTGAAACTAACAGCCTTCAACAAAGACAAAACATTATTTCACTAGTTCAAATGTGGACCAAGGCTATGTATGACCTCTCCTTTAGTTCCAGAAGCAAGTTCCATGGCCACCTCCGGTGAANCATTATTTCACTAGTTCAAATGTGGACCAAGGCTATGTATGACCTCCCCTTTAGTTCCAGAAGCAAGTTCCATGGCCACCTCCGGTGAATTGGTGTATTGCTTCGAAGAACATAAAACATTTTCACCCTGAACTCCAAATCTTTATATAACATCTCACCTCACTACTTTCTTCACCAATAAATTCGCATCACCACAAGAACAAAGGTAGCCCTCATGGTCAGTGCTGCTATCTTTCCCAAGCCAGACCTAGTGTCGATTGTCACTGGCTGCATAACAGCACAACCACCACCACCCCTCCTCCCACGGGTAGGTTTACAATGACATTGTTTATTTCTTTAAACAAATACAATATTTTGCGGTACACCTGTCACCATGTTCAGCACGCAGAGCATTCTGAAATAAAATAAATAATAGCAATAAATAAAACCAATGGTTTACCTGGCTGACAGTGCAGTACTTCTATTTATGTGCTGGGTGGCCAATTTCGTTGTGCCAAGATCATCTCCTAGGACCTCCAAAATAAGACAAGTGAAGACAAGGAGGCCAGCAATAAAAGTATATCTGAAGATGAACAAGGAAGAATACCCATCAGCAATGCACCAAGATCAGGAACAAACTAGGGGAGTGAGAATACCATATAGCCACAGCTCCCCAGCCTTTTTATCTGTTCTTCAAACGAAGGAAATTCCCCTCATGATTACACACTAAAGTTGCAGAACCTAATATGGATGTCAGCCCTGTTAATTGAAATGAGTTTTGGGAAGCATGCTATTAGAGGTCATTTGTGCCATTGCAATTTCCAGAGAAACTGACCAACAACAAAACTCAAAGCCAATGAAGATAAGAAGCCTTTTTATTTCTTCTTTCCTTTCAAAGAATTGGAAAATTTCTTCAGATGTTTATTTTTTTTTTTTTCAGAATTATATACAGTTACAAGTGAGATCAAGTATGCTTAAATGACTGTCCAATCATTTTCAATCGAACAAACAGGTTTTTCAGCTGGGGATGCACTGCTGGCCTTAGGAGGCTTCTTCGAAAATATTGATGAAAATTGTTGGCGTGCCGGGTTCTCCTCTGAGTTCTTCTGGTCTTTTGACTCTGGTTTTCCATGCCTATCTTTGCCACCAAAAATGAAGCCAAGCCTCTTAAACCTATTTTTCGGTTCACCAGCAATTGAGGTTTCTTCTGGCTGATTTGTGATCTTTAGAACTTCATCTGGATTTAGTAACATCATCTCCACTGTTTCATACACCTACAACAGAATTTAATTATTGAATAACAAAGTCCCTTTGGTTAATTCTTCGGTTTTTTTGCCCCACGTAAATAATATACTTCTAGGCCCACGCACAAAGGAATATGCAACAAAAGAACAAACCAAAGAAGATAACTAAAAGAAATGAAAGGGTAGTTGCCCACTTAGGTGCCTCGATGACAGTTTCAAGAACTTTCCAAGTGGACCCCTGCAAGGTGCACACCAATTCATGCCTCATTCGGCACCAATACCTCAGGGAACGAGGCCATCTAATTCTAACCTGTCAATCCCTTGATCACCAAGTGCAGGTCCTTCATTGGACAAATTAAAAGCAATACAAGGTGTCTCATGATAGTTCGGATATATTTGTGAATTAGATCATCCCATTGGTGAGCTTTACTTCATTGCATGTCAAAGAAGCAAGAGTAAGTGAACAGTGCCAATCAAAGTGCAAATAGATTGTATGCCATGAAAGGTGAGAACCAATGGATTTCAAAATCGCTATATCTAGAGGCACATATCCAAGTAATCCACAAACCAACTTAAAAAATTTTCCGGTCAGGTGTAGGGCATACCTGGCATATATCATCCACTTTCTCAACCCAATTGCTGCCTTGACAAGTGGCAACAATGTAGTCTCTGCACTCGTAGAACAACTTTGACAAACTTGAGTTTGTGGAGAGTGCGACCTCTGCAATAACGAATCCTGAACCCAGCTGAAATTTTGGAACATTAGACCGCATTAGCAGAACGAAAGAGCAACCAATAGTGGTTCAGAATTTGTGAATTGCATGCAACCATCATCACCACCTACAAATTTTTCAGTCCAGCAACAAAAAGGAAGGAGAAGCAATTGTCTGAACTCTAATCAAATAGTGATGCCAAATAACAGGATCATAATTAAGCACAGAACAATTAGCTGCATTCCTAATCAACTAAAAATAGAAGGCACGTGTCTCTAGGAATCACCAATGGCAAAAAATATTGATCTGTTTCAGGTGATTTTTAGTCCTACAGATAGTTGTGCAAATATAAGCCATTCTTGCACACAGATGAAAACTTAAACTTCCAGCAGACACTCATCAACATCATGAAAAACTAGACGCATATGGCTCGCTTCCACAACTGAGAGAGGACTAGACAACAACAACCACCACCTGCAAGTTGGCAGCTCTTTACCAGCCTTGTGGATAACCATTGACCAAAGTATTGCAAACTACTTCTCTGGGACATGTTAGAAATGATGCTGCAGCACCCAAACACTAAACCACCATAGATGCTGGAAGCACAGCCCAAGGTTGTTCAAATGATTCCTCATTCTTCTCAGTACTGGAAACACATTGATGCCACATGCAATGGAAAGGGGATGTTGGTCACCACTCAGTGCAAGAAGCAGAAGAGATTTCACCCTACCTTGAGGTGGGAGAGAAGGTCAAATGGTCATCTGTAAAACTACTATTTGTGCCCGGCAATGTCCACAGTTTTTAATGCCATATATGCATATCAACAGTACCCACTTGGTGGGCTTTAAACCCTATGGTTCAAGCGTTAAAATTAAGCCACATATATAGCATGAGCAAAATAGTAAATATTCCAAACGAGTAGCGCCATCAAAGATTTTATTTTGATAAAGCTCATATGTGAGAATGCAGATTACTCAGTTTTCCATTGAAAATAAAGGAAATATTCCTCGGGTGATACATAACAAGTTGAATCTATTTGATGGAAAAGATACAGAAAAATAAATCACGCAAGATATCTGAAGGACTTACAAGAGAAACAAACAGCTGTTCAAAAAGCTCAGAAGGTGGGACATCCTCTAAGAAATTCAGGATACCATCCCTAGAGAATCAAAGCACCATGTAGTTGTTGTCAGGAAGTTATTCAATTCAGAAATAAATTTAAATGAAGACAGAATAAATTTTAGATGAAGCACTGATTAATATCTTTCGTCTTACACAGCCAAATCCTCATCAAAGAGGGGAGTTTGTCTGACAGCTGGAACTGGTTTTGCTGTTTCCCACAGTTCACGCCATAAATTACCTATAAATCAATAAGCAACCATTTAGCAGAGCAAATACATAGTATGATTAAGCAAAAGTATTTGCAGAAAACTCTATGAGTAAAACAGTGTAGGACAATTGTACTAATATATCTGGTAATTTTAGATCCAGTAGTGAGAAGGAAATGAAAGACCAAAAACTATTTCAAAACATCTATTCGAAGTGCTAAAAGGACTTAGAGACCACTGCACTGGTAATTTAGTCAAAAATCAATGAACTTCTCCAGAGCTCTCTTTTGGCTCGGTCCTTCTTTATCCACCAAAAAGGGGAAGCCATAGCAACAAGCACTCCTATTATAATGCAACAAACTCGGCCAGATTAGGAAGGTCTTGGCCATTGAAAAATTTAGATGAACTACGAAATGACCACATTGCAAAAAGGCAAACAGTGAGAACACCAACCACAGCATCCACATCAGACATCCTCACAGATACTCTTAAGTCATAACAAACGTGTAATTTCCTCACATCTTTTTAGTAGAATGTCTTCTTCCCTCCTTTTCATTTCCATGCTCAGAAATAAATATTGCTAGCCAGGTTTCTCTTGAAATAAAGAAAATTTGATTAATAGCATTCATCCATCAACAAGCATTCTAAAAAAACAAAGCACATTAATAGTATTTGCAAAAAACAAGGTTCACTTTTAACTTTGTTTAATAGCATTTCTCAAAGAATAGCTTTCTCAACCAAATATAACATTCTATGGTGGTTTATAAATGAAAGAAATAGAAAGAATGATGACTAAAAGTCTACAACAAAAACATTGCTGCATTGGGACACATGTGAAGAAGCAAATACCCAAAGCAAGGATCACAATTTCGTTGTGTTCCATAGTTTTTGCCAGCTCAGAAATGGAAACGATCTGGAAACAAAATGTAATCCCAGAAAAATTTGGAAACGTGAGGAAACTGTTGGAAACATAAATTAAAATCTCTTTCATGCAGATAAGCTTAACAATCGATTAATTGAGCATGTTTATTTTCTAAACATCCATCTACACTAGATGACACAAACTTGGAGCACAAAAGTTAAAGTTACTTTGAAGAGGATGTCATTTCAAATAATGCCAAACAATAAATTTTATTAAACAAACTAAATTTCATGATTTAAAGGACTTATAATGCAAATAACGTGCATCTTCTTCTGGCGAACCAGCAATATTCCCACCACCAACTCTTTCCATAAGACAGGCAGGAAATGACATCATTCCGGAAGAAACATTCCAAAACATCCAAAATTTCAATTCCGAAACAAGAGGATGGAATTCAGCCACTAGTGCATTTCGATTTCCACAAAAAATGAAACAAAATTTCGATCCCTGACCCAGAGTTTTAGAAACCTGGGGTTGTGTAGGGAATGACCATGTACAGTACATGTAGCAGTACTATATTAAATCAGAAACCAAGTACACATTTATAATACTATATTAAATCAAAAACCAAGTACCCATTTATAAAGAATGTCAACAATGAAAGCAGTGAAGAAGGATTTTACGAAATCAGTAGAAGAAAAGCATTAACCCAATGACTGATGAGTCTAGCCAAAACAACCAAAGCAGTCAGGAATTTATTCTAGAACCCCTCACAGAGTAGTGAGCACAATCAATTTATGTCAGAGGGAGTCACTGTCATGGAAGTACCCAAAACGCCCATGATCTATTATACAAACCAGGAGTACTATCAGTCATCACAGAGAGAGAAAGGAAAAAAACTCTTTTTCATACTTCCTGGGAAAACCATAATTGGAAAGCTTTTATTTATTTTCCCTCTTCTACAATTATGACTATTTAATAATTTCATACTGTGTATTTTTAGTTTGCTATTCATCATTATCCATATCCACCAAAGCTGAGCTGACTGCACTGTACAAATATCATATGGAAATGTAGATAACCCCTATAAGAGCAGGCAGGCTCTTACTGCCCTTAGCGCACAGGTACCCAGACTTAATAATTCAGCTAAAGCAAAAGGTCAGACAATTCCAATACCTAATTAAATATACAAGCTTCCAAGTTAGAAACAATGTGCACAACTTTTGCAACGATAGGGAATCAAACAGGAATGTGAGATTAAACTAGTCATTTTCTAATGAAACGTCAACATTTCTACATGCAACTTCATATTACCGTTACCCTCCTGACAGAAACTTCAGAACACGAGTTACACAACCTATTTAAAATGAGAGCAGAAAATTTTGTTTTAGAATGTCATGTGATAGAAGACTCAACCTTCTTTCTGCATTCGCCTACTTAGTTGACCTCTTGCACACGATAAATCCCCGCCTTCAATGGTTTCTTTAGCTTCATTGCTTGCCTCAGCTTCCATCCAATCAGGGGGGGAGTGCCATCTTACAAAATCTTCTAATACACAACCAGGATTTGCAGCCTAACACATTATAACATAGACTAATTATGTGTGTGCCAAATAGTATCTTAACATTTTTGCAACAATAAAAGCCAGAAGCCTCTGTTGAACATAGGAATGGTTTATGAAACCTCACCTTAAAGGCCTGCATGTCAGAGAGAAGCTGAGAACATCCAGCACCAACACTGAACATAGAAAATGAGGCAGTTTGTTAAAATAACTTGAAAAAAGTTACTAGCTAAGAATAGAAAGGTGCCAATCACTGCCCTTTCAGAATTATCAATGACATAGAACCACCAATAAGAAACTAAACTGTAGCATGAGGAAAACCTAGGAAAACAAGCAAAAAGAAAGAAAAAAATTGTTTTTACTTTCTTGATTTGAGCAAAAAGAGGAAAACAAAAAGCCATAATTACAGCTGAGAAAGCTTTAATTCTAGGAAGTGTGCTTAATAATCCGTTTCTTGTTGAGCAAACAGAACATTGAATTTGAGATGTTTTCAAAGGAGAATTCACAATATTGTTGCATTCCAGAAATGCATCATTACCTTGTTTGTGTACTTTCGACCACGTGATCCAAAAATATTATGATAAGCTTCACTCAGTCAAATTGGACTTAGAAGTCCTAAAAGTCCTACAAACAAATTGACAACTAACCTACAGGTAGTTTTACTGCCCTTTGCACTTGACCATAAGCATTGAATTATGAACTAATAATCTATGTGCATTAGCATCCAGTCTGAGTTTTGGCAATACCTAGCTTGAATTAAGCTTAGATCCATCAATTTTAAGGCCCACTAAACAGGACAAGGATTTCTAAGATCACAAAATACTGTATGCCAAAGGTCTAAATGCAATCTTCCCTAGACTACCGAACTTAGCACGGTTACCCAGGCCCATGTCATCTCCTTTCTCACTCGCTACCCAAAAAAAAAAAAAAAAGCAAAAAAACTACTGCCCAATGCCCACTGGAATCAAGGAATTTCAGTGAAAAAGAGATACAAAGTCAGCACAGATGCAAGCATACATATTCTTGTAAGAAATGTAATAAAGCTATGGTTTACTAATCCATGTGTCTCCACAAATTTGTTAACCTACAACCCTAATAAAATATGAACCAAGTAGGTTCGAAGTTCGAAGTTCGAACCTATAAATATATTCATGTTAAATGTCGACAACGCAATCTTGAAAAGCCATCTATAATTATTTAAAGCGTCCAAAAAAACTCCAATTTACCAGCATCAGTTAGACTATAACATAGCAATTATGTACAACGGCAACCAAGACTGCCCAAGTAAAATTTTCCTTTATTTTTGGCTTGAGCCTTAGAATATATTCACTTGCAATGTCCATGTCTCATTTTCAAAAGGTCCATGCAGAGCTATTTGAAGCACCCAAGAAGGTTCAGATCAATAACATGAGCTTACAAAAACTACAGGGAGTTCAATGGCCCTACATACGAGAAACACAAACTTGAGATCTGAAAAAGGCATAGCTCATTAATTGGGCATTAATCACTACACAGACCTCCCAGTTCGTAGTACAAATTCCTCTGTTTCCTTGATAAGATCTTCTGTTAGCAGAGGCCCTTCCTACATATGCATGCATACACAGACTATAAACAACAGGCAAAATTACAAATTTAATTATTAAAAAACACTGTCATCATATTGATTAGACCTGCATAACAGGGGTATAAATAAGTTCACCAGTTTCCAGCATTGTTAAATTATCAGATTCTTTATCAGCTCCCATCCGGAGAACAAGTTCCCCAGTACTAATTCTAGCATATAAAGTAGAACTTTCAGGGGTTGGGCCTTCAGAAGCAGCTGGTGCTTCAACATTTGAACTGGCTTGCCTTTCAACAGAATCTAATACTTCAGTGGCAACAGAGTGGCGCCTTTTTCTGGAGAGACAACAGTTGATAACCTGCAACTGCTGATACAAAAGACAGGATTTCAAGTCTGGAATCTCATCTGGTGGAATGCCAGGAATATGTTGCTCTTCAGCCCAGAGTCTTCTCAGCTGCAAGTCAAAGGATTCAGAAAATACTTTATTATCTGACAATTTATTAATGAGAGGCTCTAAAGAATCTCATATAAACAAGAAGTCAAGATGAAGAGAGAAGTCCAAGAGGACCAAGTTCCCCACTAGTTTGTCTCAATGCAAAGTAGATGACAATGAGAATGAAGAAAAGGCTGGCATCCATCGTTGTTTTTTTCTGAAGAAGGGTGCCAAGGAATTGGGAGTTTGACAGTGAGTCCCTTAGTTGATTCTCGAAGTCTAACAAANTAAATGTCGACAACGCAATCTTGAAAAGCCATCTATAATTATTTAAAGCGTCCAAAAAAACTCCAATTTACCAGCATCAGTTAGACTATAACATAGCAATTATGTACAACGGCAACCAAGACTGCCCAAGTAAAATTTTCCTTTATTTTTGGCTTGAGCCTTAGAATATATTCACTTGCAATGTCCATGTCTCATTTTCAAAAGGTCCATGCAGAGCTATTTGAAGCACCCAAGAAGGTTCAGATCAATAACATGAGCTTACAAAAACTACAGGGAGTTCAATGGCCCTACATACGAGAAACACAAACTTGAGATCTGAAAAAGGCATAGCTCATTAATTGGGCATTAATCACTACACAGACCTCCCAGTTCGTAGTACAAATTCCTCTGTTTCCTTGATAAGATCTTCTGTTAGCAGAGGCCCTTCCTACATATGCATGCATACACAGACTATAAACAACAGGCAAAATTACAAATTTAATTATTAAAAAACACTGTCATCATATTGATTAGACCTGCATAACAGGGGTATAAATAAGTTCACCAGTTTCCAGCATTGTTAAATTATCAGATTCTTTATCAGCTCCCATCCGGAGAACAAGTTCCCCAGTACTAATTCTAGCATATAAAGTAGAACTTTCAGGGGTTGGGCCTTCAGAAGCAGCTGGTGCTTCAACATTTGAACTGGCTTGCCTTTCAACAGAATCTAATACTTCAGTGGCAACAGAGTGGCGCCTTTTTCTGGAGAGACAACAGTTGATAACCTGCAACTGCTGATACAAAAGACAGGATTTCAAGTCTGGAATCTCATCTGGTGGAATGCCAGGAATATGTTGCTCTTCAGCCCAGAGTCTTCTCAGCTGCAAGTCAAAGGATTCAGAAAATACTTTATTATCTGACAATTTATTAATGAGAGGCTCTAAAGAATCTCATATAAACAAGAAGTCAAGATGAAGAGAGAAGTCCAAGAGGACCAAGTTCCCCACTAGTTTGTCTCAATGCAAAGTAGATGACAATGAGAATGAAGAAAAGGCTGGCATCCATCGTTGTTTTTTTCTGAAGAAGGGTGCCAAGGAATTGGGAGTTTGACAGTGAGTCCCTTAGTTGATTCTCGAAGTCTAACAAATGCAGAAAAATTTAGTAAAATTTCACTTGGTTTGTGCTATTGCAAAGTCAGCCTTCAACAGAAATACTGAAGAGATTTATCTTACCTTGGTAATTAGACCCATGAAACAATAGTATCGACAAAAGCTGAAGGTTTTACCGTCTTTTGTGTTTCATTTATTGTAAGAATTATATGGTCCACAGAATCAGTATCTCACCATTGAGTAACTGAACTAAATGAAACAGAACGCTTCAATGAGTCTAAAGATTGGAAATGGTAATGTATGATGTACAACTTAAAGAGGTGACATTGCTGATCATGGACCTGATCACGAGGCTACTGTAAAAGTCAACTTCATCATAATCACGTAAGGGTCAGAAGGTAGGTAATTAGAAAGATATAGAATGCCATAATAGGGTGCATCTTTTGGATTATTCTTCAAGAAAACAGAAGACCAATAGAGATGTCTACTCCCTTATAAAGCAACTCGGAAGGTACCAAGTATAAGGCCATGCCTATAACATGCATTCTTGATCCTACATTAGTTTCTTAAATGTTGATCTTGCGTAAAGAAATCATGTATCATGTTGAATCAAGTCATAACTTCACAACTCCCTACATGTTTGTTCAACATTTTTGTAAATTGAAGTTCCTTGAGGTCATATTGTCATTACCAAACACTATAATGTATGACAACTATAATTTATAGGTTTTGAGTTGTTATAAAATCTAAAGCAACATCCACTGATTGATTAGACAAATATCACAAGCTTTGAAAGCCTAAACCAAAAGCTATTTGGGGTATACAGGAAAGTGTTTGTTGAATTTTGTAGAGAATTTTATGATTGTTTTGTTTAGTTCTTGTATCTACCAAATCATGAAACCCCGGCAACCTAAAACCAGTCAAAATCCAAAATTACATTTCCCGGATTGCTGTTCACAAAAAATAGAGAAGTCCCAAAAATAGCACTTAANGTTGATTCTCGAAGTCTAACAAATGCAGAAAAATTTAGTAAAATTTCACTTGGTTTGTGCTATTGCAAAGTCAGCCTGTTACATAATTGCAGATTTCAACAGAAATACTGAAGAGATTTATCTTACCTTGGTAATTAGACCCATGAAACTATAGTATCGACAAAAGCTGAAGGTTTTACCGTCTTTTGTGTTTCATTTATTGTAAGAATTATATGGTCCACAGAATCAGTATCTCACCATTGAGTAACTGAACTAAATGAAACAGAACGCTTCAATGAGTCTAAAGATTGGAAATGGTAATGTATGATGTACAACTTAAAGAGGTGACATTGCTGATCATGGACCTGATCACGAGGCTACTGTAAAAGTCAACTTCATCATAATCACGTAAGGGTGAGAAGGTAGGTAATTAGAAAGATATAGAATGCCATAATAGGGTGCATCTTTTGGATTATTCTTCAAGAAAACAGAAGACCAATAGAGATGTCTACTCCCTTATAAAGCAACTCGGAAGGTACCAAGTATAAGGCCATGCCTATAACATGCATTCTTGATCCTACATTAGTTTCTTAAATGTTTATCTTGCGTAAAGAAATCATGTATCATGTTGAATCAAGTCATAACTTCACAACTCCCTACATGTTTGTTCAACATTTTTGTAAATTGAAGTTCCTTGAGGTCATATTGTCATTACCAAACACTATAATGTATGACAACTATAATTTATAGGTTTTGAGTTGTTATAAAATCTAAAGCAACATCCACTGATTGATTAGACAAATATCACAAGCTTTGAAAGCCTAAACCAAAAGCTATTTGGGGTATACAGGAAAGTGTTTGTTGAATTTTGTAGAGAATTTTATGATTGTTTTGTTTAGTTCTTGTATCTACCAAATCATGAAACCCCGGCAACCTAAAACCAGTCAAAATCCAAAATTACATTTCCCGGATTGCTGTTCACAAAAAATAGAGAAGTCCCAAAAATAGCACTTAAGACCTCATTTCTAATTAACAAACCCTCAACCCAACAAGCACCATCCATCCCCAACCTTTTCCCATTACTTTGGCCTTCAAATTGACTCCTACACACCCTAAAAGCTTCTTGTCCCTTACATTCAGAACCACTTCATACTATATTTCTGTAACTTTCCTCTCTTGAAAATAAGCTTCTTTCAACCTTAAACAAACAACAAGCCTTACAACCATTATTCTCTCTCGTATTATAATAACCAAGAAGTTTGCCATATCCTAAACCTACCACAGAATTAATCATAGTCAGCTCTAAGTTTGCAAAAGTTAGCAAGATTTGGCCATACATAACCACTAATGAAATTATAGAAGTACCAAATTCAAAGAGAAAAAGAATGCCTGCTTATTTTGCCAAGTAGCCTTATGTGTCGCTGCCTTCTCAATATTTTATAGCAATGAAGTCCACAGAAAGCAAAACTTTCCATATCCACTGTAGTTCATGTGATGATGTATCAACTAACTCATGTCAAAAAGAGAGCTGAATCTGTGGAAAAATAAATTTGCACACATGCACATGCAGAAACCACAACAACATGATGTCTTCAAGAGAAGTATGACAATAACAGTAAAAATTACGTTCAAAAAATGTCTTCATAGAAGTATTACTATTTTTGTGAGATGTAGAAAATTTTCCTTTGTTATCAACAGCTATGTATATTATATTTGGCATTCAAGTTCAATGGAGTCCACTTACTTCAGCAACAACCCCGCACCAAAACAAAGCCATTTTCCTCAGGGTTTTTAAGTTTCCAATGGCTTCAGAAAGCTTAACAAGAAAGCTTTCAGGAGGAGCACCATGAATATCGTTAGGCAAAGATGTGATGTTTGAAAGTTTATCCAAACCAGAGCCGGCCTTACTCCCAGTAAAATGTCCTTCTGCGAATATCTTGCAGATATTACAATGGAAGTGAAAGATCATCAAGGAATAATGCAAATAATTATGGGTGAAAATTTCTTTCTAAGGAAAAAAATTTCCACGGGATTACTATATCACGCATCTACCTGCATCAAGCAGTGAATTGATCAACGACAGGATTTTATCATCAGCACCAAACTCAGTGGTGAATTTATCTTCCTTTTCACGTAGCACTAACGACTTCACTGCAGAGAAATTCAAGGCAGCCCTCTCCCTGACAGGTGAAGAATCTCTGGATGATGCCAGAAGATCTTTAATAGTCTTATATGTCTTCCCAGCCCTAGAAAAAGGGAAAAAAAAGGAAAGAAAAGATGAAACATTATATGCTGCTCACCAATTCAGAGTAGTTGCAGTTGCATTTCTTTAGCAATTAAAACATAACATATAGAAAAATGCTATTACTGTAGCTGTCAACTTAATTAGTGTACCAAAGTTACGTAAAAGGAAAGCATCAGTCAAAAATGGAGTTAGAAATACTCTGCAATAGTATATGTATCATATCAGATAAGTTGCAATAAGAGTGGAAAAACAAAAAAAAAATATCATTTGATAAAAAACTAACAAATTGGGATTTTAAAAATAAACACTACTATTTTGTTTATATGAAAGGCAATCAACCAAGAAGAAGAGATTAAATTCAGAAAAAAATTGAACTACAAAACAAAGAATTGTTCAAAATTCCAATAACAAAATCTTACTCAACAGCTATGGCCAATTGCTTCATGACAGCTGTTGGAGGAATACAATCTGTGTTTGAGGCATACGAACTTTCTACCGAGGAACCCGATTTTGAACCCTAAAAGACATCAATCCATTCCTCAGAAAATAATACACATGATCAAGCAATTCTACTTTTTAGAACCAAGGAAATTGAAATGTTGAGAAAATTCCAACTCACTCACTATACATGACCTTTCAAATTGTTAAGTAAAGCAATTGCAATGAATTTTTTCTACTCTGTACCTTTTTGCAATAAAAATAACGATTTAATCTTACAAACTTTGATATAATTTGATTTCTGTATTTAAAAATATGGGTTTATTCCAAGTTAGTGATTTTCTCATTCACATAAACTTTGGAAAAGAACCAAAAACAAATTCCACTGTTTGGCGTGGCTTGACCATAATGGCCCCAGAATCTTTGTGGTTTCCATTGCTCTAACAAACACCAAAATTTACTCTAATATTTTTGGTAATAATTTTAAACCCAAACAAACAATGCCAACTCCTGTTTGGATGGTTAGGATTTTTTTTCATAAATTATAACTGTACCCAAAATATGTAGACTATCTCCTGAAGCCTTCCCCACATTTACAGACAATTTAAAGTCATTAAACAAGATGAACCCACTTCTTGTATCCTCTTATTTCCATATTCGTATAAACTGTCATAAAAGATCTATGTTGGGTGTTGGCACAACCTGTTATACACGAGAAGCAGTTCTTGTTATTAGCCAGTTTCGGATCATGTTTATTTTTAAAAATAGTTGGCCACAGTTGGTCCCTGCCTTCTGCCATTCTGGGCTACTAGCATTTTTTGTACCAAGGTTCCAGAGTTGGCAAGTCTAACTAGTAATTAGACAAGGTTACATTCACTTAAGTGCTTTAATGTCGAACACATATGCAGTTGAACTATGAGAAGTTACTCCTGGAATAAAAATATAACTCTTGGTTGCATATTTTTATAAGCCAATTTATAAGGTAATAATTCTAGTCCTAGTTGCATGTCTGCATCGAAAAAGTTTGATCTTCAGTTCCAAATATAGTATAGACAGTTAGACTGTCCTGTATGTGTAGAAATACATCGAGTGTTTTCAAAAGCATTCAAACACTACAAAAATGATAATAAAAATTCATGTACCTTTGATTGGGAAACATCTCCCGAGCTCACCAGGTATAAATTTTCATCAAAAATAGCAAAGGACATCGTTGAATTTTCAGCTTTATTAATATCTTGAACTTCTTTCTTGCCTATTCTTATGTTCTTGAATCTCTCGTGCCAATCCTGCTTTATCTTTATTGGCGACTTCAAATTTTTCAGTTCATGCCCACCCTGTGCCAATACATTTGGTATTAAGCGCACATATATCAACAAGGGTCATAAAAAGTAACTATTTCCAAACGACATTACTTATAGAACAATTAAAAGCAACCTAAATATGAACAAACATCCCATGTTTATTGGCAAATGGAACATTGCATGTTATAATATTACCTAACAAGAATAGTTTACTTCTATCCCCGGTTCGCTTGCGGAAAATATGTAAATTAAAATTAAACAAACTAGAATTCGTTACATCATATCATTTTCGTTTTTTAGGACCTCAAACCAAAAATAAATATTTATCAACTTCCGCTACAGGCAACTATACTTTGGCCAAGGCGACAATTCCGTCTAAAGAAACTAACAGGGGATAGAAGTAAAATTTGCAATTCAAATTTCTTTTATTTTTGTTTCCTTTTTCAATCTGCTGTAAATCAAAAAAGTTTATCTACATTTAAAATGAGACCAAATTCAACTTCCGATTTCTCACTTCATCTCTCCGTTGTACTCATCGTTGAATCAAGTTCATAAAGCCTTCAATTAACGCTCAGTTCATACAATCTCAACAGAATTTGATAGATCGATACTGAATAGAATTCATATTGATCTCAATCAACATCTACATTAATTAACAACCAAAAAAATATACATATATTTACCTTGGACACATCCTCGTTGTTAGAGGAATCAGTTTTTGATGTCTTCGGACATTGTTTATCAGAATCTTCTCCGATTGGATTGAATTGAACATCGATTGTGATACAAAAATTCAACAATATCAGAAAATAATACCGATTTCAAATCCTAAATATAGTAAAAATATATATATAAAAAAAAATGTGAGTGGCATATAAAATTAAAAAAAAATGAAAAAGGTGTACCTCGATCGGTGGTAATTAAATCAGATTTTTTAATATCCGTGAAGACTCTCTCCGCTTTAGCTGCCGCGGAATGAAAGGCCGTCCTCGCTTTGGATACAAACGACGCCTCCATATCCTGTGCTGGGGGTGCGTAGGCTAAGGGGAAGCCGGTTGAGGATTGAGGTACGAAAATGAGGGCATGTTTGTACGGGATGATGATGGAGGAGTTCCGAGTGAAAAACCGGGGGAAGCAAAGACTGTTGTAGGCGTGGACTATCGAGCATTTAAGAGATGACTGAGTAAGACGCACAAAATCTTATTTCTCCACATTAATTAAATGTATATTATAATTTCTAGGAAAAAAAATTCGATACTCTACTAAAATTTATTATTTTTAAAATAAAAATTATAATTGATTGAGATAATTAAAAATTAATGATAAAATATTGTGATGGATGATAAATTACTTGAATGAGTGGTAATTTATTTTCACTTTTTAACAACTGTACGTTGATTACTGTTGTCAACAGTTTCATTATTTTGAAGGAATGAAATAAGGAATAATTTTAGTTAATTATCCCGCTATTCCAAAATAAGGGAGTAAGGAATGACTTTTACCTTTCCTAATCTCAAGCCATTCTATCAAAATAATTTAATTCCTGACAACTTTCTCTAAAAGCGTACTTTTTTTAGTCTCTTAAGAATTCCTAATTTTTCAGTATGGAGTCACCTCCTTCACTCGACTTGTTTTTTTACCATGCTTATGCTATATAGGCGATAATAGTTACCTCTACTATCAAGCGACTATTATAATATCGTTACTTTAGTTTCAACTAACAGTCATCAATATCTACCATCTTGTACGTATTCTCTTAATTTTTTTAGTGAAAATCTAGTTAGTTTCGCTTAGTATCGTATACCCACTAAGAATAATTACTAGACAATATTGGTCCTTTGCTAATAAAAAAAATCGGGTTGCTCACCTTGGACTCGATTTTTTTATTTTTATTTTGCTGTTATAACTTGTATCGCAAAAATTTATAACTTGACTTAAAAAAATATATAAATTTTGATATGGTTAGCTTTCAATACCTTAATATTTTTCCAAATTAAGTAGATCTTTTCGTAATTTACGAATTGTGTACATGTCATAGTACAATTGTATTTTTTTTTCTTACTTTTTTCATTAGGTGCGCAATTAAAACAAAGTGTTCATTAATAGGTAAAGGATCTTTTCGAGTCAAAACTTGATTGCACTTTTCATTCATAAATTCAAAATGACTTCAAAGTCAACCAACTGAGCGTGAACCAGGGCATGATTTATTTATTTAAATTGATAAAATCTAAATATTTTTTTTTGGTAAAAACAAAACTTAAATATATACACACACGTTAACCGAACATGTCAACTCTTGAATAATACGTTTTTGCTGAACTAAACCACTATCAATTTTTACAAATGACCAAGTCACGATAACCTAATAATTGATTTAGTTCGCTCAGAACATTTTAATGAAATATTATTACTTCTATTTGGAGCTACTTTTTCTTGTTTATAGATGTCAACAATAGTTAGGTGTATCATTTAGTAACTCATAGGCTTCGGGTTCAATTATTTTTCACGTTTCTTAAGGACGAGTCACTTTTATCCATTTAAAAACATATTCTAAGTCAGTTCAAGTCACACTAATTAATCGTTGAGTTCGAGAGAATAGTTAGCACAACCCTGAATACCTATAATCCAAAAAAAAAAATGTCAACACTCAACAGTAATGTTGTCACATTTTGATTTGGTCCATGGGTTGGAAAGGGGAATTGCTAATCATAAGACCTGGGTCAAAACCTAAATTCGAATTTGGATCAAGTATGGGTTTTTTTTTTCCTGACTAATTGAATCTAAATAAAAAATTGTTCAAGATTCAATTTTAGATATACTAATATTTAATTTGATTATAACTCGATTTGAAAGGAAACTCTTTGGTATTGTATGAAAAAAGTTGGAACTATACTGCTGGGTATAACTTTTTATGGGAAAATTACACTTTTAATAAAAAAAATTACAACCGTTCAAGACAAGACCTTAATAGATTATAAATATTCATGATCGATCATGAACTTTTTGTATCAATCTCAATACTCCATAATCAATCATGCTCTTTAAAAACTATAACTTAGTCATAAAAAGTTGTAATTTTCGATGCAATACCTCCAGCGATACTGTAGTGTTTCCCCGATTTTGAATCACAAATATTTTTCATACAAATATGATGTATTTTTTATTGAAATCTATATAATAAAGCAAGTAACAAGTTAAAATTTTATACCTTACATACTTTTTCCCTCAATTCCATTCCATGACATCAATTATTTTCTCTCACAATTACTTACTGTCAGAGATTTGTCGCCTCTCTATTTCCCCTTCACGCATTCTCTCTCTCTCTCTCTCTCTCTCTCTCTCTCAACATCACTATTGCCCCTGTGACACTACCATCGCCAACGATACCGCCACCGCCATAACCCTCCATGGTATCACTCTTCTCTGCTTTTATCTCTCTCTCTCATGGACAACCCCTCTCCAAATCCCCAAGATTTTCAATTTCTGCGTAAAACCCCCACCCCTACGCCCTCTGCGCAACCCATCCTTATCCTCTGCTTCTCTCTCACACATACAAACTCACCCTCTCTCTCTCTTACACACACAGAGTTAAAGAACCCCCTACCCCCCAGGTCAACTCTTTCTGTGCAAACCCTTGACTGTCTGCTTATCTATATCTCTCTCACACACATACTCTACTTCTCTCTCTCTCTCTCACACACACACACACACTCTTAACAAAACCCACTCCCAGGTCTCCCTCTTCTATGCAAACCACCCTACGCAACCTACTCCCACTCAAAATATTCAAAATTCAAAATATTTGATTGCATTTGTTCATTCTTTAAATACCAAGATGAGTTCAAAATCAAAAAGCTGAGCGTGAACAATGGCTCGATTTATTTATTTAGATTGATAAAATTTAAATATTTTTAATATATATATTTTTTTTTTGGTAAAAAAAACTTACACATACGAACGCACACAATGACTTAGCATATACATGTAGAGCACTTTAATAATTAATAAGTCTGCATCCAAGAGTTTAAATTCAGTAATGAACGAAGTTTTATTTGAAAAAAAATGAGTATGTCAACTTTTGAATAATACACCACAAGCATTTTTTGCAAATGAACAAGTCAAGATAATCTAATACTTAGCTTGATTTTGTTCACTGGCAATATTTTAATGGTAATATTATTACTTCAATTCGGAGCTACTTTTCGTTGTTTATAAATGTTAACCGTGATGTTATCACATTTTGATTTGGTCCATAGGTTGGGAAGAAGAATTGCTAATCATAACAACCATGAATGAGTCAAAATCTAAATTCGAATTTGGATCGGGTATGAATCTTTTTTTTTCCCCTCACTAATTGAATCTAAATCAAAAGATTATTCTCGATTCAATTATAGATGTATTAATATTTAATTCGATTTGAACGGAAAGTCTACTACTGTATCTTAAAAAAAATCGATACCGTACTACACCGCCAGTTATAATTTTTTTATGGCAAAATTATACCTTTAAAAAGATAAGTTACAATTGTTGAGCGAAAGTTCATGATTGATCATAGACACCCAAGATTAATTATGAACTTTCGGTATTAATTTTCAATTCTTCATAATCGATCATGTTCTTTAAAAGTTATAACTTACACTTAAAAAAATTATAACTTAATTTTAAAAAGTTGTAAATTTTTGTATAATACCGTCGACGACATCATAACTTTTCCCCAATTTGAATCATAAATGTTTTCACAAAAATACGATGTATTTTTTTGTTGAAATTCAGTTATAATTTACTAAAATCAAGCTTAATTAAGTAATACATACCGGATTGAATTTCTAAATTTTTAAAAAATTAGATATAAAATTACAAAAATAAAATNACAACGGGCCTCCCAGTGCCACTTCTTACACCTATCAAGTATCTCACGTATCTCCTCTTCCTCAATACGTTCTCCATTGTTGTAAGTTGTAACCCCACCCGAACATCCTACACACCAGCTGCTCAACGAATTGTCAAGCCGAATTTCTTGGCCAGTGGGTGCCTTTTTGTGTGTGCTTATTTATTTCTATTTATTACAACTAATGTTTGCCTGTTTATGTGGTGGAGTTTCTGTTAATTCAAACACATATCTTTTGGGTTCTTTTTATATGTTTATGTTTGTTTTTCATTGCCATGATTTAATCATTTCTATTGAATCACAGGTATAATAGAGAGAGTGGAGAGAAAGAAAGAGAGAGAAAAGGAAAGGAAAAGACCCATCAAACTCTCTGGCTCTCTTCTGCACTTTCTCTCGCTCTTAGACCTTTGTTTCACCCTTCATTGACAACAACATTCTGCTTCTCCTGGGATAGTTGAATTGCAAGGTATTTTTAAACTATTTATGGTTTTATTTTCTTTTTAATTTCAATTCTTTCTTTTTTTCTTATAATAAAATCTTAACAAACAGTTAGAGAATGACCCAGCTAGATTCTGTATATGTTTTTTTTTCAATCAGTTAATTATATTGTCATTTATTTCGATTGAATTTTACCCAATTTAATAACTACCCATGCAACTCTCTGTATATGAAGATTTGAGCGTCATTTAATTTTGGTTATGTTTGATGTTAGACAAAGTATTAGGTTCAATTGAATCATCGAAGAAAGCTCACCGCCTTGAGGTTGTTGGTATGTACATTACGCCAATGTGGTCTTTACACTATTGGGATTTGGAAGGAAGTGAATTTGATGTTGTGATGCTTCTTTGGAGGAAGAGAGTGGTTGTGAAATAGCAATAATAGAGGTAGCTTGGCAGCATTTTCATTCTACTAGCAAAGGTAATGCTTTCATGTTGAGAAATTGATTAGTATCATTTTTTTTGGCATTTGAAGGATAAAAGGAATGATCAATCTCATTATAGATGACATCATGCAAGGAACACACAGGGGGGGTTTAGGAAACACACGCTGCTTAATGACTCTCATTGATTGACTATTTATAGTTGAATGTGATCAATTGTGAAATTTTCCTTTTTCATTTCAATTTTGGGAAAATGAGAGGGTCTCATATTCAAGGTGGCCAATGTGATAAATAGATTGGTTCGAATATCTAGGAAGTTGAGTGCCCAGTTTTGTTTTCATCAGGTAAATGTCTATCTTTACATTATACATCAGATGGGGAATGAAAAAAAAAACACAGCAATGGGTAATTATATGTAGTTGATGAGATTATATTAGGCATTTTTTAAAATTAAAAAAGCTGTCAGCATGAAGCATACAGTTGTTCATGGCGGTGGGAATCTTACTTTTTTATGTTATTTCTTGAAGGTTTCACAATTGCCTGGTTTATATAAAGTAGTTGTTTTGTCTAAAAGAGCAATCCCAGTTTGTCCTTTTCTTTTATTATCTTTTTTTTGATTTTATATCCATAGATTTTCCTTCAAAAAAATAGT